ATAAGTCCTGAGAGATGGAGTTCACCGGAGGAAATGTGCCTGTTTCTCCCGCCCTCTCTTCCATAGTAACCTCCTTTACCAACTGTCCTCCTCATCCCTTTTACCTTCTCTCTTCCTGCCTGCCCTTCACTCCCTCTTACCCTCTCCCATCTTCTTTCGTTTTCTTCTTTTTAGAGTAGCTTTTATTTTATGAATTATTTATTTAGGTATTTATTTTTGTCACTTGTTGGGCTTGGACTCTGGGCCTGGGCGCTGTCCCTCAGCTCTTCAGCTCAAGGAGAGCGCTCTACCACTTGAGCCACAGCACCACTTCCGGTTTTCTGGTAGTTTATTGGAGATAAGAGTCTCACAGACCTTCCTGCCCTGGCTGACTTTGAACTGCAATCCTTAGATCTCAGCCTCCTGAGTAGCTAGGATGACAAGTGTGAGCCACCGGTACCTGGCCAGACATTTTTACTTTCAATAACAGTCTTGGGTATGTGGACAAAATGAGTGGTAAGTACTGAGAGTCCCCACCCCTTCTTCCTTCTGCCCCCAGTTTCTCCTGCTACATAAGGCTCACTCTCAGTGTTATCCATCCTATGTTATCCATCCTTACACGCTCAGCGTTACCCACCTACCGCCAGCTCCAGCACGCCACATGTTCCCCGTGTCCTCCCTGTGTTGTCACTCCTTCTCTTTTCCCAAACCCTGGCAGTCAGGTCACTTCCTGTCTGTGTGCATGGTACTGGCATCTTGAGTGTCATGGAATTGAAATCACGCAGTGCACAGCGCTGTCGGATGGGTTTTTCCATTCAGCAGTTGGCATTTACGTCTCCTTTCGGTTGGCTCATGGCACATTTCTTCTCAGTGTTGGCACACATCACAGTTTATGTATCTACCCCCTGCTGAAGACCATCTTTGGCAGCTGCTGTGTTTTGGAAATTATAAATAAAATGTCTCTAAAATTTTATATGCCGGCTGGATAGGCTGTAACACACCTGCCACACCAGTACTCAGAAGTGGAGGAGGGAGTCTGAGGCCTGGCCTCAATATAGATTACCACACAATCAGCATTCACGTGTACATTGTTCGGGGGACAGGTGAATCTATTGTTAAATCAAAGAATAAGGAAGGAGAGCTTTCTTAGAACAACAGGAGTCAAAGAAAACATGAACATTTCCACACTGAACCAGAACCAAAACCAGAAGAATTTGCCATAGCAAATTCAAAAGGTGAACAGCTGGGGGCACTGGATGACA